ATTTGCATAGTAGTATAATTTAAAATAGTAGAATTAACGAAGATATCGATGATATGTATCAACCATCAATGAATTTTATAGTAAGCAAAGAAAATCCATAAACAGTGTTGATATTACGACTTTAATTACATGCAAATATCAAGTAGCTAAAATAGTTAATGTAAACAGAAGTATTCAGCGGGCTGGGATGATATAGAAAGATAAACACCTGACAAACGCAGCTAAGTTTTGCAAAAGTGAACTAAAGTGGTAGAGCGACTGTTGGTAAATATGTGATGCGCGAGAGCCATGTGCCGTCGTGAGAGCTCCCGACTCGTTGCGCATTGTCAACATTGTAACTTACATTCGGATTGTTTGATAAATTAATTATTTTATAGCTCTTATATTTCATGTAAATTTTTATTGAATACATTGTTTATTCTAATGATCCTTATATTATTAACTTTTTAGTTTACCTAACAGTCTACTGGTTTAATTCGGCATTCGGTCTGTGAAATCTTCGTTACAGCTTGTATCAATGTTACAGAAGAACAAGCGCAACTTAGTACTCTGGAATATTTTCGAGCTCACAAAAATACAGCACTTTGTTTAGCGTTGCGACTTCGTGTTATTGGCCTCTGGTGGGTGTAGAGTTAGCATATTTTATACTCATTCACGCCTTTCATGGCGTCTTTCATCGAGTATACTTCTTTCCAAAATCGTCCAGGAAAACAATGAGTATAATCTACTCTTCGTTAGATATAAAAAACTGACGCTTATAAAACTGTCTTATACTCAATTATGAAGTATTCGCTTAACGTACACACAGCCCTGATTTGACATAGTACGATAGGCAAATTGACAAGAAGGACTAAAGAATGGTAGTAATGGATATACATATTCTTCTTCTCTCTAAAACACATTAAAAAGTTAAATTTAAGTACAAAAATTGTAGGCCTATGTTTTAACTTGGCATATACCAATCAGTCATTTAATCTTTGACATAAAATACTACTCAATTAGAGCATTTTGCTAAGAAACTAAGAGGGTTTTACCATTTAATACTTTGTTATAAATTTTCACAACGCTATAAAAGTAGTGCATGGCTATTCTCTCTTGTGTGCTATTCTCTCTATCAAGATAATTGCCTACCATCAGGAAGACCGCATATAATAGTCTGGTTTTTTTTTACTAGATATAAATAGCATATAAATTATCGTTTAAACAAACATCGTTATATAATATCGTTAAAACATAATGTTCTTAGTGGATCGGATCTAGTTGAAGGGGCAATTTTCTGTGAAGGTGTAGCACCAAAACCTAACATAAAAGAATACACACCTTACAATAACGGCGCCTCTGCACACATCACATTTCAAATGTGGTCGTCACGCGGTAACACGCCAGTATTACACAAATGAGAATGCGAGAAATGTGTTATGTTGTTGCAGGCGATACTCTGACAATTTGTCACAATTAATACGCGATTGTAATTTATGACCTGACACGATAATGCTATAGTAGCATTGTAGTTGAAACTGTGACACGCTTAACTAATCCAATGACGTTTACTATGGCTGTTTAATGCAGCTTAGCGGTTTAAATTATTTTAACTTTTAAATAATAGGTCTTTACCTATGAAATTGCCGTTTTGTATGCAATAAGTGAAAGTACTAATTTTTTCAAACTTTTTTATTTCTGTTATTCGAAGTAATCACCCATGCAATCGACGCATCTTTGCCAACGCATATGCAGTTTATTGATGCCCTTCAGCTTCAGCTGGACGGGAGGCAACAAACTCTTCAAAGGCATTTTGTACTGCCTCTCGGGAATTGAATTTTTTACCCACTAAAAAGTTGTCTAAATTTTGGAAAAAGTAATAGTCGGTAGGTGCAAGGTCTGGTGGTCACATCTGCAACCAGCTTTGGTCAATCGGTCGTCCCCACTGCTCCTTCACGACAACGCGCGACCCCATTCTGCGCAACAGACAGTCTCCAAGCTACAAGAGCTGGGGTTGGAAGCTCTCCCTCATCCGCCATACTCACCAGACCTTGCACCTACCGACTATTACTTTTTCCAAAATTTAGACAAATTTTTAGTCGTAATAGTTTAAAAGATGCGTCGATTGCATGGGTGATTACTTCGAATAACAGAAATAAAAAAGTTTGAAAAAATAAGTACTTTCACTTATTGCATACAAAACGGCAATTTCATAGGTAAAGACCTAATATTTTACCCACACCACAACGGATATATTAAAAAAGTTACTTTCATGTTCCAGATTTCTTTCCTTCTTGTGTATGATATTCACTGAGTTTTTAGTGAGAGCTTAATAGTTTTGAATTGTTCATACTGTATTCGATTACGCTAGTTAGTTTTTGGAACGAAGTTCAATATACGAAGGAGCCAGACAAAAAAGTGTTGTTGTTGTTGTTTGTTTATACGTAAAATAATTATAGGCAAATTATTATTTATTTTTTAAATACCTTAACCAAAATTTTTAAATGAAATATTTGTCTAACAACACAATGAACTTCGTTCCTATCGGGTGTCCCACGACACGACACAACATTAGACGTGGTCAAACGTAAAAATTAATATCCTTTTTTATAAAGTCGATTTAAAACAAGAACATTATTATTTAGGCACTCATCACTTTAATTATTAATGTTGGTAAAGTTTAAGAAAAAGAAGACAACCATAACACATCTAGCTTAAATTTCTAAAAGCCTCCCTCGTTTCAACTCAGATATCATCATCAGATCACGACTTAGGGCGATCATTGGAGCATACTCTTTCTTACGAGAAAAAAGCATTTTTTTTAAATCGATCTATATATGGGGTGACGTTATGACGGAGATATCACCGATATCTCTTATGTATGTTCACCGGAACATACATTAAAAACGAATAAATCGGAACACAGAATCTACACTTTATTTGAAATTAAACAATCTCTGTATGTATAGAATTTACTAATAATATTAAAGAGAAATTTCTGCTCGTTTTTCCAATACCTTTTTTTTAGGCCGGCATGACAAAGATGCTTTATTCTGATTACTAAACAATTACTGAGAAATGCGTATATATTCATATTTATTCAAACTAAACGAGCGATTGCGCTCGTGATCGATCACAAAAACTACAACTACATGGAGAATTTAAATCGAATCACATGTAGATAAAGGAACATGTTTAATAAAAAAAACTTAATTCTGCTGGATCGATGGAAAAATATGTGTTGGTTTACTGCTGCTGTGCTGTGCATTTCTTTATCTAGTTCCCTATAGATTGTTGGTGTTTGTTTTAAACATCATCACGAATGTTTAAATTTAGTTAAAGAAATTTTGTTTCTTATATCTACAGTACACAGACATACATGTCTACTTATTAGTGGTGATAATAGCATATTTTAAAACTTTATTCAAACAAGTCATTCATGCACTACGAATAAGCATTTCATGCAAAATTCAAAAAGTTATACAACTATTTATACATGCAAAGCGGAAATACATTATAATGCAAACAAAAATGTTTGTAAAATAGTAAAACAGCTAGAGAGCGTTTGTTTGTAGCGCAGGCTGTTTAATCTGTATGAAATTAAATACTAGGTACCGTGTAAGTTATGAAAGTACAAATGGAGTCGTCAGCAATGAGTGTGGCTATATAAGTTTTGTGTTGTAGGATATTTTACAGTTTGTTAAAGCTTCCTTCTGTTCAAGGTTATCTAAACAGTAAGTTATGGTGATATATACCATCAAAGTGCGAGTAAACTCAACAATACATAACTCTATTTCATGTGGGATAATCACTATTGGATATCTTAGTGACGGCGGACAAAACAATATTCTTCAATAACTGATACTATTTTGATGACTATACGACACATGTAGCAAAATTAGAATATTACTTATCCTTTAAGAATAAAAATAGGAATTCATAAAAGCACATCGAGGTTCAGAATGTATCGCTGCAAATCAGACAACTATACTAGGATTTCCAGCGCAGTAAGAACAAAGAAACATACAAGTACAATCTCCCACAAAGAATATTAGGTATGTCTCTGACTCTGTATTAAACCTAAACCTTCTTATTTGCACATAAGATATCTTGAACTGTTATGCTAGCGCAGTAGGTATGGTACACAAATAATTTAGTTCAAATGTCAATGAAGCATTCCACGTTACAGGCTGTTTCATTACAGATTACTTCTCATAAAATCTCTTAAACAAATTAAAAGACACTAAATTCATATAATTCAAAACAGTTATTTAAATTCTAGTAGCATTTCTAAAATTATAACTGAGACTGAGAGAAAGCTATTATTTATTTAGTAAAATTATTCAAAGCTTTGCAGAAGAGTATTACTTCCTTAAGTTGCTACGACATAAATTTGTCGCATATTCCCCCCTCTTTAGTTACGATTCGAGTCAACTTTTTTATCATTACTGTATTATAATGACAATAACCAAAACTTCGTTACTACTCGTTCACTAATTTTTAAAACACTTTTGAAAGTGAAATTTCATAAAACAGCGCTCTAATATTTTTACATCTTAAAAAAAACAATATTTGAACTCCTAAATCTGAACGTATCTACAGCATCGACTAAGTGACAGTGAACGCCGGAGAAAGGCGATACCAAAGTTTTTACCTGAAACCATATATTCATATCCAAAGACGTATTTGGGACATAATGAAAATTGACATAGGTTTAAAAAGTTTGTTCGTTCGCTATTTCTTACAAAAAAGGTTTTTTTTATAACGTAAGAGACTCTGTAACTTTTAACTTGAAAGGTGCCATTAACAATTATGCAATTTTTTATATAATCGATTCTACTTAGGTTTTTATATTGCAAACTTGACGATATTTGACCTAATAAGGTCAATAGGTTCTGATTGATCTGATTTTACGATTATTATATGTAATATACACCATACATTTTACCAAGGTATTGTCAAGTTATTGTTTAACTACATACGAAGAAATGTTTAATTTAACCTCTATATTTTGTTCACAGTTCATCCTTTGGTACAAGTGCCAAACCAGCTGGTAGGTGCTCCGACTGGCACAGACGTTACGCTACAGTGTCATGTTGAGGCTTCACCCAAAGCCATCAATTACTGGACGAGAGAGAATGGTGAGGTCCCTATTTTTGAACTTACCGTAATAAATACGTAATTTTCTGTTATAAACTTCCAAATATTTTATTAGTTATGTTAAAAATCAATTTGAAGATAAAAACATACACTGTTGTCAATTTCAACTTGTTGCTAAAAAAAATCGCAATGCTCTATTGATAGTATTTGTAGTCAAACCAGATAAAAAAATATATTAACTAGGGCAACATAAAAAAAAACTACTACTATTTGAATATCTCAAATAAATACACAAACCTAACTTAACAATAAATCTCGTGTTACTTAATATTATAGTGGCCAAAGTTGGATTGTCACGAGGAAGACTTACCGCTGAGCACTTACTCGCGACTTCAAACAAGCATTAGATACTTTATCTTAAACTTGCTCCAAAACATTTAAAACTTTATAAATTTCATTTATTAAACGTAAAAAAAACTTCAGTATTAACGTTATTAACAAAATTGTACCAAAAAATATCACTATTGACCATTGACATCACAAGGGAGTGGTATGAATGTCAAATTTTCTTCTTATATTATTATTTTCCTTTTTCTTATTCAACTCTCTGGATGAAGATGACCTTAAAAATGAAGGACGAGTATTATAGAATGGTAAATGAACAGACGGGCAACTGATGCCTGCAACCTAAATAGGAACAGGCTTTTTTCTTCAAGGTTTGGAGGACGTATCGATCTACAAATACTGCAAGCGACAATTTGTTCCTTATGTTCCTTGTGCCCGGTTAAAAGTTTCTTGAAAAGCGCACATTGGTAGAGTCCCCAATATCCAAGTTATAGGGTTTTTTTTTCCGTGTCGAACGATGTCGGAAATGGAACAATTTACGGAGTACTGTCCCCTAATATAAGCAATAAAATTTAGATATAAGCCATACCCAGCGTTGTGTCAAGGATTCAAGACGATCGGATATATTTTGGCAATCGACAATTCCAGTATTTCGCCGTTGAATGCTGTCAAGAGTCAGAAGCTAATACTGCACCTGCAAAGAGATGAAAATAATATGCAACATGCTGCTGAACTTAAGCCTTATAAAGTTGCAGGTGGTGGGCTGGAGTTATGTGTTCTATTGATCTGTTCATCCTACCGAGCTTCTTTGAGTCTTATTTGGCCTTATTCTCCAAGTGATCTCTTTGGACAGCTGAATCTTCAGTTTCACGTTGTCATTTAGCAGGAGCAATCCAAAGGGGACTGCATTTCTGTCACTACGTGTATTTTTTATTTATACAGATGAGTTGTATTCGAACCATCTTGCCTACTCTACGGGTCTTGCAAAGAAACAACCAAGCTACTTGAAACGCCTTCAATATTTCAAAATTAACTCACTAGAAAAACGCAGGAACTCATCTCATTTATTATTTTTATTTAAATTACTACACAACAATATTGATTGCCCAGATTTACTTTCAAAATTTAAATTCAATATACCTCACAAATATCCCCGAAAACCAATGATGCTCCTACATCCTCATTTGCGAAAGTCGGTTTTAGGTTCCAACTCGCCTGTTTCACGGCTAAGCAAGAAATACAATCAAATCAGTAAGCAGATAGATATTTTTGGCACAAAATTTCAACGATTTAAGAACCGAGTCCACAACCTTACTGTCGATTAGCTATGTACTAATTGTTGTTCTATTTGGAGATAGTGCCTATCTGTAATATTAGGTTATAGGTTCTACAACCTTTTATTTTTCTACTTTTTTCACAACCCTTGTGAATAGGTAGTATTTTTTTTTCTGTTTTTTTAAAGCCATATTAGATTATTTGCATGCGGTGTTTACCTACATAAGTTATGCACTTAGATTAAGGTCAATACTATGTTCTATTTTTTACGAATGTTTTTGTGTAATAATTACTGGTAAACCAATAAATAAATAAATAAATAAAAAAGTTATTTTTACAGGCTATATTTCTAGCAATGGTTAATATATTACAGCCACTCATAAAAGCAATGATGATTTTCATAATTATGTTATAGGAATTAACATGATCACGTTATTGGTATTATCAGCATGCAACTACGGCCATACAACAGGCCCAACGCCAGACAATCTAAATTCTAGAAATAAAATGAGAAAGTTCCTTTACCAAGCTTAAGACGTAATATCACTATTCAATAATATTCACTAACTTTAATGTGTTAAAAACCAAGGTAATTCGTTAAATGCTCGTTTAGTCTTTTTAGTTAACAGGCGATAATTAGTGTAATCTGCGATTGTGTTCAAAAGATGTTTATGACCAAACTCATAAAGTCTATTAAGTACTAAGCACGAACCTCAAGAACGGAATAAGCAACTAATTTCATTATTCATAAAGCACATTGAAAGCGTTAAAGCAGTCATTAAACGGGCCGTTATTCATGTTGCTACTATCCTCTTTGACAGGCCACAGGGGCTAGTGCTTGCTTACAAGTTATTGCCTTTTTATGGTCGTATTTAAAAGGAAAAAAATATGCGCTTATTTCATGACCGTTTTTTACTTCGCAAAGATTTATTTTTACTTTGATTATATGCCGCCTATGTTACGGCTTATTAACGACCTCATAATTATAGCAACGATGACAACATAAAATATTACGGTGTCAGAAATTAATAAATGAACACTGTTTATTAACTGCGGTCAGGAGTTTCTTTTCATGTTCATGACTTTTGATGTTTTAATCCGAAAAAAGAAACGTAAATTACTTCTCTCAGTTATTTGTTGTCAATAATGTAAGCATCAAAAATACACATTTTAATGTAAAGTACTCGTATATTGATTTGACACAAGCAATGTTTCCCTTTATTTCCTCATTTGTAACAAACATTGATAATCTTAAGCAACACTGATACCGAACATTTTCAAAGAGCAATAACATTATTAAGTTCTTTAAATTTCCTCGACGACCTTCGGTGAATTTTCATTTTAGTCAAGAACAGTCTTCACGTAGATTACTACCTCAAAGTCGTGTATGTAAAGTGAAAAGTTACTCAGAATCCCTAGTTATGAATAGGTATTATATTATAAAGGTCGCATACTAATTCTTTCTGGAGAAATATGTTACAACCCCTACTACCCAACAGAGCTGATTTCTGAGAAGAATAATTACACAAAGTTAACGTATATCGGTGAACCATAAATACAAAAATAAATTATGACATTTTACTTAAAAGAGATAATAAGGTTACTTTTTTATAAATCTTATATTAAGATATAAATATGTAGGTTTTTAAAGTGATTATCTACACCTAAAAGTCTGTAGGTAATGTCAACATTATTGCTCAACGTGAATAAATGTTATCAAAAGAGAAACTAAATTGCATACCCTGAAAGTAATATAACTTGTGAATTACCTATATAAAAACATGTGCTAACTAATACAAATACCGCTCTTAACCTAACAAAATATCAGAGAGGTCGGGAACTTCATTATTTCTCATTAAAATGACGCCCCCAGGATAAAAGTTGCTTATTTAGTGGTCGGGTGACAGATGGACAAAGCTCTCGTAGCGCCTCGGAGGGCAATATACCAGAGATAAGCTCAATATTTACTTTACGTTTGTTTTACCTACATATGTAGATGAAGGAAATAAAGATCAAATGCGAGAGATTACGTTACAAAACTGACCCAAGTATCGCAGAATTCATAAATCCAGCCATTCATAAAACTGACAATGCAGTGACAGTATTGGTATAATTTCCCTATATCTCCAAACAGCATGCAGCAATTGAAATAAGGGTTTCAGAATAACAAAGGCAAAATATGAAAAATATTCAGATATACAGAGATATATATAGTTGCAGAGTACTGTACTTTTATGGCGTAAAAATCAGACAAACGCAAAGCAATCACACATTTCAAAATACTTTGTGGAGAACGCGCAAATATTCAAATGGATAATGCATTGCAACAAACACCGGGCACGGTCGGCCGATAACGGCCGGCCACTAAAGCCGAGTTAGGAATGAATTTACGGGTAAGGGCCGTCCAGTGTTGAGCTGGCCGTTCACAGCCGTCTGGCGCCGTATGTAAGACCACACGCTGCATGTCACCGCGACATGTGTGAGCGGTTTCTAACCGAAACCCGACAAAACGAACAAAAGTTTTTCGCAATGCAGTCTTTACACTCATATTTTTTGTTGGTCTAATTTAACAGTTTATGCGCTGAATGGAAGCGCAGTCAGAGTTTGGTAAAGTTAGACGCATTTCTATTGCAATGCCGAAGAAGTAATTAAGATATTTAAGCTTATACGATTAAGTTTATATGAGTAGTTTACTCAGTGTACGTAAGCCGAATAGATTCGATTTTAATTTGATATTTGATACCAAACGTTATACGTTAGTTGATACATGGGATATATTATGTAGTATTACCGTCCGGTAATATTCATATAATAAATGAAATGTATTCCTTCAATGGTAACCCACTGGGCATAATATAAGTAGTTTCTTGATTTGAATCTCGTCTGTGCGTTACTGCCCAGGAGGAATGACCAACCTCGTGGCGGCCATCGGAGTGGGAGTTCTCTCGCTCGATAGCCTGATTGCGGCTATCGTGCGGAGCGAGAGTGCGTGGAACTCTACCGTCTCCTTCTGCGAGCAAGTTATGCTCGCGAAGGAGACGGCGGAGCGGGACCGGGAGAGGTTTAGGACTCTCCCGGCCCGCCAGGCCCGGGAACGGACCAGGTACCACAGGCGACTCAGGCGCCGGAGGTCGCAGAACGACCTCCGTCCTCCATAAGCGCAGGCCTGGGGGTGACAGGTGAGGCCATCTATCACCCTAGCAGAAGCAGGCCGGGGTGGCGACGAGCGCGTTGCGAAGCGAACTCGCTTCCAGGGAGCACAGGGAACATGGGGTTCCCACACGGGGGGGGTTGTCTACTCGTCTGTAGATGACCCGAGGTATGTCGGGGCACCAGGGACTTCCTTTCTAGGGTATACCTGGTTCCCCGGCTATTAGTACCCGAGCCGGCGTGCGGTTTTTGTCGGTTCGAGTCCGACATG